AGAACTAGAAAGGCGAGGCTCACCACCCATTTATCCCTCCGCCCTTCAATTAACCCCACATGTGATTATTGGCCAGGCTCGCACAATTAACTAACTCAAATGGGAAACCGGTTTGAATTTGGTGGATCCAGAGCTGACAAAATAGGTAGGAAGCAGGTTCTGGGAAGAGGGAATCAATTCAATGGATTTGTTCTCCAAGGCTTGTTCCTCAGCACCTTCTCCCCAAAGCTGAAGCCCTCCTGCCAAGCCTGTGAGTGGCGGGTCTGAGGCTAGACCACGCTCTTTTCCATGTGAGCGTTCCAGAATGGGAAGCTCTTGATGACGTTGCTGTTGTTAGGTGCCATGACGTGGGCTCCAGCCCACGGAGACCAGGGCACAACAGAAGGACACACTGCCCGGTCCTGCGGCCCCTCGCCATGGCTCCCGTGCCCATGCACCTCGTTGGGGCCTTCCCCTTTTCACCGCCCCCCACTTTACAAACACACTGGCCTTCCCCAGGGCGTGGTGAGACTAAACACTACCACCTTGCCTCTCAGGAGTCTCTGGTCTTACTGTCAGGAAAGCAGCCTCTAACATCCCAAGGGTCAATAGACCCAATTGTACGGTTATAACGTATGGAGATGATAAAGTCATAGCAGATAGGAAGGGTAATAGCGAGAATGAAATAAAGGAGTCAGACACATTTTATGCTCACCTCAGCCCCTCTTGATGATCCACGTGGAGGTGGGAGAAGAGAGAGGAAGGGAGCGTCTTAACTAAGGGGATATTTACAGGTAGCCATAAGGCATGCATATTCAGTAGTTACATACGTCACAAGGCGGGGGAAATCTACGGTAGGGTCCCTGAGCCCACAGGTGAGGAAACCTCCACCTGCACTGGGGAAAGGTATGAGGGCGGCTGGGTGACCCGGCGGGAGGAGATAGCAGCAGGATGGCTGCTTCTGTAGGGAGATTAAGGCAGCATAGCTGTTAGGGGAGAATCTGTGGGAATGATATTTAAAGCAGGATAATGTACTTGGACTTCAACTTAACCAAAGTGTTGGCTTTCCAACCATGGAAAACTAGCTTTCCAGATTCCCTCTGCGATAAGTCAGGGAATACAGTCCTCGTCCTATTTCCCTCAGTGTGAGCTTCCCAAAGATCTGTCTGTCCTTTTAGCAGTCCAGGGTGCTTTCCATGATCACATGCATCCATTCTTCTTCTACAGTCTTCCTGATTCGACGGCCATGTGTGACGTCATGGAGACTACCATGGCCTGGGTCCAGTGCACCTTGTTCCTCAAAGTAACACCCTGGCTCTTCAATCCTCTACACAGGTCGTGTGCAGCCGACTGACCTTTTTGATCTCCTGACTGCTGCTTCCACGAGCGCTGATTGCCGATCAAAGTAAGACGAAGTCCTTGGTAACTTCCACCTTTGCTCCATTGATCACGATGTGACCTCTGGTCCAGTGGCGAGGACACTGCTCGTCCCTACCGAGTTGTGATCCACACCGAAGGCTCCAATCGTTGGTCTTCATCGGCAGGTGCTTCGGGTGCTCCTCACCTTCAGCCGCAAGGTTGTGTCATCTGCATATCGCAGGTTGT